CCTGGCAGCGATTGGTCACTGTATAAACAGATTCTCGAAATTGCAAGAACTAGGAGTCAGGGAACTTTAATATGCGGTGGTGACTTTAATATCTTATTAAACGCCAAATTTGACTCTTCTAATGGGAAAGGCGATGTACAAAATATTGGTAAGAGGATGGACACCTCATGGGAGATTTAGGATTAGTTGATGTATGGAGAGAACATCACCCAAGTAATAGAGAATACACCCACTTCTCATACCCACATAACATACATTCTAGGTTAGATTACATTCTCATATTTAAGAATGATTTGTTTAAAATCAAAACCTGTGAAATTGGTCCCTGTACAATTTCTGATCATAATCCAGTTTATGCTGATATTTGTCTGAACAGGAAAAATAGATCTACATTATGGAGGTTGAACACAAATATTTTAAACTACCCAAGCATTAAAAAGAATTTAAAAAAAGAAAGAGAATTATTTAGCTCAAAATGATAATGAGGAGGTTTCACCAGGAATACTATGGGATGCACTGAAGGCGGTGATTAGAGGGAAAATAATTAGCATATCCTCCCACTTAAAAAGAGAAAATATGCAAAAACGTAAATACCTGGAAGATAAATTGTTAAAGCTGCAACACCAACAATCCGTGACTATGAATGACGACATTAAATCTGATATGGTAAAATTTAAAAAAGAATTAGATGACCTAAACATGATTGATGTACAGAAAAAAAAAACATTTTTAAAAAGCAGCAGTATTGTGATGTAGGGGGAAAATCACTAAAACTTCTTTCGTATAAACTCAGAAAGCAGCAAGCGGAGAGAACTATACACAAAATAAGAAACCCTTTAAATGGTCAAATAGAAACCAAAGAGGAGAAAATTCAACAATGTTTTCAGAATTATTACAGAAAACTTTACTCTCAAACCCACGTAGACAATAATCCAAGATGTCAATACGTTTCTGTCGGAACTACAGTTACCAAAAGTGACAGAGGAACAAAATAAAATGTTAGTATCCACAATAACCATAGAAGAAATTCACTCAGCAATTAAAAGACTAAAAGGGGGAAGAATGGCAGGGGCGGACGGATTTGGCCCAGAATGGTACAAAATAATGCAGGATCATTTGACTCCCACCTTGCAGAAAACATTTAATTGGGTAATGGAGGAAAAAAATCGTACCCCCCTCATGGAGGGAAGCAATAATTTCTATAATTCCGAAAGAAGGAAAAGATAAACTAGATTGTAACAACTACCGCCCAATCAGTGTATTAAATATTGATTATAAATTGTTCACTTCCATCATCTCAAAGAGACTTGAAACAATATTACCAGGACTAATACATAATGATCAAACAGGCTTTATCAAACATCGTCAAACTCAGGACAACATTAGGAAAGTTTTGCATATAATGAGCCAGATTCATAGACAAAAAATAGAGACTTTAGTGTTACGTTTAGATGCCGAAAAGGCATTTGATTCTGTGAGGTGGTCCTTTTTATATCAGGTACTTGAGAGATTTGGATTTGATAAATCTATAATAAATACTATTTCTGGGTTGTATAATAAAACAGCCAAAATCAAAATGAATGGAGACCTTACTGAATCATTCATACTCGAGCGAGGCACTCGACAGGGTTGCTGCATGTCGCCACTCCTCTTCGCCTTGTTTATAGAACCATTGAGCCAATGGATCAGACAGAGACAGGATATAATTGGAGTAAGGACAGCAGGAGGGGAGCAAAAATTTGCATCATTTGCTGATGACTTGTTACTTATTATATCTCATCCTATGCAGGTTCTCCCCAAAATAATGAAAATCTTATCAGAATTTGGTTTATTCTCAGAGTACAGGGTTAATGTGAACAAAATGCAGGTACTAACGGTAAATTATGATCCACCAGTTGAAATTAAGAATTGCTATAAATGGAAATGGGATGCGGATGGTGTTAGGTATCTGGGGGTGGCGATACATCGTGACCCCACTAAAATGTATGAGGCCAATTATGCCCCCTTGAATATAGCCATAAAGTCTGATATCCAAAGATGGAATGCCATACCTTTTTTCGACCTACACTCCAGGATTGAGTCAGTTAGATTAAACATCCTTCCCCGAATGTCGTATTTATTTCAATCCCTGCCAGTTCCCATACCCTCAAGACAATTTGTAGAATGGGATAAGATGCTGTCAAAATACATTTGGAAAGGGAAAAAAGCCAGAGTCAAATACAAAACTTTACAATTAAAAAAAGAAAAAAGGAGGTTGCGGGCTTCCGTGTTTAAGAGAATATTTTTGTGCAGCTCAGTTGAGACCTTTGATATGTTTGTGCTGTCCGGATTGCACAGCAGGATGGAAAGATGTGGAAGGGGAAACAATCAAAACAATACCGATTAAAGCCACAATAGCTGACACAAAATTGCAGAGCAAAATTAATTTGGCAGATGAACCTATATCGCAAGCAATGATATCTGCTTGGAACGAAGCAATTAGAATGTGGATTAGAAAATGCCTCTAAAGTTCTACGATGGTGCGCTTACGATTCAGATTCCATCCCAAATCAACATGATGATAGATTCGAGAAGTGGATCTCAAAAGGCCTAACTAGTTACTATTCCTTTGTTCATAAGGGGGCGTTCCAGTGTTTTGAGACCTTGAAAAGAAAATACGATTTATGCGCAGATGACTTTTTCAGATATCTACAGGTCAGAAATTATTTTAATCAAGATCTAAAAGTACATTTACATAATTTGAGATTTGTGGAAACATTTATATTATTATCCATATCAAAAACAGGCAAAACTATTTCCAGGTTATACAACGCCATCCTGCGGTATAAGAAGGACAGCACTGTTTATGTTAAAGTGAAGTGGGAAAAAGAAGGCAGCCTGACGATTCCAGAGGAGGATTGGGACGCATCTGTAAGATACCATGGACAACAACAAGATCAAAGGTTTGGCGTGAATTTTGCTGGAAAAGCATTACAAGATTTTTCATAACCCCAGAGCAGAAACGATATCAGGGAAGGGGCGATGCCTGCTGGAGATGTGGCAGGAATGGTGCCAATCATTTCCATATTTTCTGGGACTGCCAAACCATTCAGCAATATTGGTCTCAAATCCATGAACATTTACAGAACATTTTCACATTTGATTTTCCTTTAACCTTTGAATGCATATTTTTATGTAACATATCGGTCGACAAACTGAACTATAACGATCAAAAACTTCTGTTCATTTTGCTGGTGGGGAGTAAAAAGGTTCTCACAAGAAAATGGCTTAAACGGGAACCTCCAACAACTGAAGACTGGATTAATGTAGTGAAAGAGATTTATGTATTGGAGAAACTGTCTTTTTCCATTAATGTGCAGAGGGACACCTTCTACAAGATATGGTCAAAGTGGACAGAATATGTCAAACCGGTTATGTCTGATTTTTTGTAAACCTTGTTGTCATTCAGATTGATGTTTGGATTTGATATGCAAGGTCGATGATTAGTTGGTATTTAGGCTACCCCGCCACTCCCATGTAAGTTCTGGTTGGTTTTTGTTGGTTTTGCTTTGTTTTTTTTTTGTTGTTGTTCAGTTTGTGTATGTCCCCCCCCCATTTTTTTTGTCAAAAAAAAAGTGAGAAAACTGACAAAGAATGTAAAATGAGAACGAAATCAATATAATTATATCATTGTAATGTAACGGGCTTTCTCAATAATAATAATAATAAAAAAGCAGGCCCAAACCATGATGCTGCCACCACCATGTTTGACAGTGGGGATGGTGTGTTCAGGGTGATGACCTGTGTTGCTTTTACGCCAAACATATTGTTTTGCATTGTGGCCAAACAGTTTGATTTTGGTTTCATGTGACCAGAGCACCTTCTTCCACATGTTTGGTGTGTCTCCAAGGTGCTTGTGGCAAACTTTAAACAACACTTTTTATGGTATCTTTGAGAAATGGCTTTCTTCTTGCTACTCTTCCATAAAGGCCAGATTTGTGCAGTGTTGTTGTCCTATGGACAGACACTCCCACCTCAGCTGTAGATCTCTGCAGTTCATCCAGAGTGATCATGGGCCTCTTGGCTGCATCTCTGATCAGTCTTCACCTTGTTCGAGATGAAAGTTTAGAGGGACGGCCGGGTCTTGGTAGATTTGCAGTGGTCTGATACTCCTTCCATTTCAATATGATTGCTTGCACAGTGCTCCATGGGATGTTTAAAGCTTGGGAAATCTTTTTGTATCCAAATCTGGCTTTAAACTTCTCCACAACAGTATCTCGGACCTGCCTGGTGTGTTCCTTGGTCTTCATGATGCTCTCTGCGCTTTGAACAGAACCCTGAGACTATCACAGAGCAGGTGCAGTTATACGGAGACTTGATTACACACAGGTGGATTCTATTTATCATCATCAGTCATTTGGGACAACATTGGATCATTCATAGATTCTCACTGAACTTCTGGAGTGAGTTTGCTGCACTGAAAGTAAAGGGGCCGGATAATATTGCACGCCCCACTTTTCAGTTTTTTATTTGTTAAAAAAGTTTGACATGTCCAATAAATTTCATTCCACTTCACGATTGTGTCCCACTTGTTGTTGATTCTTCACAAAAAATTTAAATGTTATATCTTTATGTTTGAAGTCTGAAATGTGGCAAAAGGTTGAAAAGTCCAAGGGGGCCGAATACTTTTGCAAGGCACTGTAGATCTGGTCCAGCAGGGTACAGAACTAGTCCAGGATGGACTTGGTCCTGTTGTTTAAATCTTTTTTTTTGTTGACAGTTTGCACATTAAAATCCACTTCTACAACTGTAACAACTTGATTCAGGTAACCGTTTCCTCTGGTTTTACACCTGACTGAACACAAAAGTTTATTTAAAGCAAGTTGTTTTTTAACTACAATTAATCAGTGGAAGAAACCAAACTTTTTAAAGTTACCAGTACCATACAGCTGAAAGTCTGAAGTTGATATTTGTGAGACAAAGGGTGGAGGATGGATGGTGAAAACACTAAGACGACTTACTAAATGTCCATCTCTTTATGATTCTGGCCAACCGTCCGTGCCTCAGTTGTAAGAGAGTTCAGCACCACAGCTGGGTAGATGAAGTATTTCTCCACACACTGAAGCCACGCGTACAGTTTCTCAAACCACATCAGCTGAGCAGCATCTGGGACAGAAAGAGAGCAAATGGTTGAGAAAGTTCAGTCAAACATCTTTACTCTTAAACTTGTCAAATTAGGCTGAAAAACGTTGGTTACGTACTGTAACCCCAGATTCTATGAGTATAGGTGTAGCCCTTTAAGGCTGTCGCTTAGTGGGTTTATCCCGTTATGCGTAGCATTTGCACTGAAAAATTTAGTCCACGCCCACCTGCTGTGTGGGCCCCAACCGGTCCGTATAAATTACGTTAAGAGCGGGAAATCGGCTCCCAAAAATAGCTTTTTCTTCAGCCATTTAGGAGCCAGTGAGGCCCGACGCTTAAAGGGCTACGCTTATACTCATAGAATCTGGGGTTACAGTACGTAACCAACGTTCTATTTCATATAGGCTTCGCCCTTTAAGGCTGTCGCTTAGAGGGTTAAGGGCGAAGCGGATGTTGTCCTCGCCTCACTGGGTCCATTCAAACACCGTATGAAGCAGAAGCTTGCCCAAAAAAGTCTAATCACTCAGCTCCCATGTGCGTAATTATGCATTGCGTAATTATGTGTGCCATGTACAGACGCATGTTGTGTAACTATGCATTCTGAATGCATGAACGCCCCGGAAAACTTCAACGGGGAGGGAAAAATGCTGAAAAGAGCCATGAACCAACCGGTTTACGGCTGAACCGTATGAACAGATTAATAATAACAGGAGAGCTGATTATTAATCAAATGAACTGATTGGTAACAATAGTCGTGAATCTAAAAAAAGTTAAATCTGGTCCTCTGGACATTCAAAAAAACAATACAAAGCAAAACAACAAAAACATGTAGAAACGTTTCGTCTCTCATCCAAGAGACTTCCTCAGTCTGAGGTGCTGTATTCAGCTCAGTCTCTTAAATAGCACCTTCTTAGAGTGGATCAACCAGTTTTGCTGCTGACAACCAAAACCAGCTGATCACATGCTCAAGAAGGACCATCAGCCTAACAATGGATCATTAGCACACTGATGGCTGTTTACTATTCACAGAGGGCTGAGTGATACTAGCAATCACAGCATTGTAAGAGGGGGACAATTGAACACGTAGGCCTCCACCCCTGTTTAACGATGGACGATTTCTTTTCACAAAGATGGCCTCCTTTACTCCTCTCTCAAACCATCGTTCCTCTCTATCCAGGATGTGCACATCTTCATCCCTGAAAGAGTGACCGCTGGCCTGGAGATGAGTGTAGACCGCAGAGTCCTGGCCTGATGATGTTGATCTTCTGTGCTGGGCCATCCTTTTGGCCAATGGCTGTTTAGTTTCCCCGATGTAAGACTGATCACAGCCCTCCTGACACTGAACAGCATACACAACATTACTCTGTTTGTGCCGGGGGACTGGATCTTTGGGATGAACCAGTCTTTGCCGTAATGTATTTTGGGGTTTAAAAGCCACTGGGACGTTATGTTTAGAAAATAAACGTCTCAGTTTCTCTGATACTCCCTCAACATATGGAATGACCACTGGTCTGGGTCTGGGTTCCTCCTTTTCACCTGTTGGCTGACTGGAGTCCTGTTTGGGTTTCTTCTCTGCTTTCAGGAAGGCCCAGTTAGGATATCCACATTGCTCTAGAGCCTGTCTTGTGTGGGATTTCTCCTTCTGCCTGGCTCCTAAGCTAGTGGGGACGCTGTCTGCTCTGTGATACAGAGTCCTGATGACTCCTAACTTGTGCTCCAAAGGGTGATTGGAGTCAAACTGCAAATACTGGTCTGTGTGGGTGGGTTTGCGGTACACCTCAGTTTGCAAATATCCTCTATCAGAGACTGAGACCTCACAGTCCAAGAAAGCCAACTTGCCATTTTTTACATCTTCTCGTGTGAACTCGATGTATTTATCCACAGAGTTGATGTGGTCAGTAAAATGTTGGACTTCCTGAGATTTAATTTTAACCCAGGTGTCGTCAACATACCTGAACCAATGACTTGGTGGTGTCCCTGAAAAGGACGTCAAGGCTCTCTTTTCTACCTCCTCCATGTACAGGTTGGCAACAATAGGAGAAACTGGAGACCCCATAGCACACCCATGTTTCTGCCTATAATATTGCTCCCCATATGTGAAGTAGGTTGACTGCAGGCACAGTTTCAAGAGTTGACACAGTTGTTCTGTGGAAAGCGTGGTCCTGCTGCTCAGAGTAGTGTCTGATTTTAATTTTAAACTGACCACCTCTACTGCATCATCAACAGGAATAGTTGTAAACTGATTAATGACAATAGAACCAAAATAACAGTCACAACTTGTGACTGATAACATCTCACACTGTAATGCATGCAGACAGATGTGAGTAAAACAGAGTTCCATGAAACAACAATATTCATTCTGTAACACTAAGGACAGAATGTGTCATGGAAATGTGTCATGGAACGGGCTGTCACATCACCTAGATAAAAGCAAATAAATGAAAAGGGTGTTGACCACGCGGCCACAGTGCAAAATGTCCTGCATTGACATACCATTACGCAAAGCAGTCGAAGATGCGATACCCCTGGTCGAGTGTGCTGAGGTTGACAGGAGGCTCTAAATCTGATGCTCTGTAGGCTTCAGAAATGGCCTCACACAGCCAGTGTGACAAGCGCTGGGTGGATAACGGGCGACCTGCAGATGCATCTCTATAATGCACAAACAGATGTCGACGCATTGCAGCTGTGCACGCTATGTAACACGTCAACGCCCGCACAGGACAGAGGAGATAAAAAGACGCTACTTCTTCTGATCTGTGTGGAAAAGGGGGGGGGGATGACCCCTCCAACGATATTGCTCGATTAAAAGAGCTCGTGATGTTTTAGGCATAAAAGCTGGGTTGGTCTAAAATCAGCTGAGCTGTCGTCAGCCTGAATTCTGAGACATGACGGAGCGACAGAGAGGGCAGATAAAACACTCACTCTCTTAGCGGATGTTAAAGCCAGCAGCAGGGCTGTTTAAAGAGACAAGAATTTAAGTGGAACCTGATCCAAAGGTTCAAATGAAGCTTTGATCAGGACCTGCAGGACCAGTATTAAATCCCACTGGAACAAGTGGGTGTGAAACAGGCCTGCGTCTCTGTACACCTTTTAGAAAACGCTTCATCAGCAGATGATTAAAACCTGTTCTGTCTCCGAAACCTTCGTGTCAGGAAGAGATGGCTGCAGCGTGCGTTTTAAACATGCTGGATGCAAATTTCTGTCCATCAGCTGCTGCAGAAAGAACAGCATGTCACCTAATGGACATGAGGTGGCCTCTACACCCTTCTCTGTATACCAGCACTGAAAAGCTGTCCGCTTTGATGTGTACATCGCTGTGGTAGTTGCAACACGTGAAACCTGAATTGCGTGCATTACATCCTGTGGGCAACCCATCCTCTCTAAGTGGATTCATTCAACGGCCAGACCCACAGGTGCTGGCCTATTTCTGGGCAACTCCTGGTCGCTCCTCCTGCCTGGAGGAGCGCGTCCTCCCTCTACGGCAGTTCCCACGGGCACCCCGACAGCAGGCGTTGCAGGGCTGGGAACCATGGTGCGCTCACGCGTTCGGGGCCACCAGGAGAGCTGTCAATCCCTCCTCCTGAGCTCGGTTCAAGAACCGTAAAATCAGAGGAGGTGGAGAAAAACGCGTACAGAAGCATTTTGGGCCATGGACTGCGGGCAAACGCATCCACCCCAGCGGTGGTTCGTCTCGTGGGCTCAGAGAAACGCATAATTGACACTGAGCGTTTCTCGTGTCACAAACAGGCCCACAGCTGCTATATCAATCTGAGACAAAATGCTCCGTAAGAGGATGATTAAAGGTTGTTCTGTCTCCGACAACTTTGAGACAAGAAGAAAACATGTCTGCAGCATACGATAGTCATGCTGGACACCAGATTTCTGTCCCTCGACTGCTGCAGAAAGGACAGCATGTCGTCCAGTGGACATGAAGTGGCCTCTACGCCTTTCTCTGTACAGCAGCGTTGAAAAACTGACCACTTGATGTGAACAGCGCTGTGGTAGTTGCAGCACGTGACTCCTGAATCGTACGCACTACATCTTGAGAGAGATCCATCCTCTCAAAAAGATCCGCACAGCGGCCAAACCACAGGTGCTGGCCTATTCTGATTAATTCCTGATCGTTCCTCCCGCCTGGAGGAGAGCGTCCTCCCTCCAAGGCAGGTTCCACGAGCGCCATGATAACAAATGTCGTAGGCCTGGGAACCATGATGTGTTCACGCACTTGGGGCGGAGGAGCTGCCAGTTCCTCTTCCTGAGCTCGGTTCAGAAAACCGTGATATCAGAGAGAGAGAAGAAGGTGAAAAGGCATTACGACCACAGGCTGTGAGCAGGCACGTCCACCCAGCGGTGGATCGTCCCGTGGCTCCACGATAATTATAATTGACATTGAGCGTTCTCTCGTGTTGCTACACGTCCACAGACGTTGGCAAGATTTCTACCGTGTCTGAGCCATAGCTCTGGGTGGAAAGTCCCAGGTCCCCGTGCCCCAAAAGACCGTCTTTGGGCATCACATCCGCCCCCTGTTCGGAATACATGAGATGTACCCACTCCAATGGAGAGCAGATTGGATGTGCCCCACACAGCATCTGTCTCACAATGTGGCACATGGGTTGAAAACGCATACATCTCCTGCCAGTATGTATGCAACAGTCACTTGCTGTCTGTGTGAATCAAAAACCCTGATGATTCTGCAGCTCAAGGTCAGTGTTGAGTCACATTCAAAGAACCCGTGCAACACTCCAAAAACATTTAAAAGAGCTGCTGTGTGGAGAGCCACAGCGGCCCCACAGCTTGTTAAATGTGTGTGACGTAGGTCTGCTGACGGAAAACAGCTGATATCACTCAACCGGTTCACGTGAGTTGCACTGCTGCCACCTGTCTGTACAAGCTGCTCAGCAGCAGCAGGTGTCCAGATAAAGCAGAATTAAAGCGGCTCGGGCGCATAATGGAGTGTTGTTTCTCACAGCTCAGAAATTGACAATCTAGAATAAATCTCATCTTTCCAGTTCATTGGGACCAGGAAGTGATGAGAGAGACCTTGCGTTTTCCTCTCCTTCTGAGACTCTAGAAATTACATTTAAAACAGAATTTCCTGAGCTTCTGCTAGAGGGGACAAGATCTGTTCATAAATGACAGAAAAAAAAAACATCACAGAGTTCCTCCACACCGGGGTTTGAGCTGAACTGCAGCGTGAATCCCGGATGAAAACGGTTCGTCCATCCGTCTGGAAGCGCGCGTGCATTGCCACCAGTTTATAAGCTATAAAGCGGGCACGCATTTATGCTGTGAAACACATACATGCTGATGTGAGCTGGAGCTGAGTGAGAGAGAAAAAACACGCGCGTCCCCGAGCATGCAAGACGTTGTGTGTTGCTGATGCTGCGGGGAGAGCTCATCTGAGTTGTGCTCACGTTGTGTGCCGCTGCTCCGTGTAACGCTCGGGAAGCGGGTGCACGTATGAGCCGACGTGCCCTGAAGGGTCGTGTGTGTGTGTCCTCATTCATGCGACGCCTTAAGCCAGGATTGCCGCGGGGGCGCGCGTTGGCACTGGTGCGGTCAGGAAGCAGCGCGCTGCTGAGCTCGTACCATGGTCTCACGTTAACGTTGACGTGAACGGCGGGCGCTGAGAGCTGCGTGCGTGCTTTCATGCCGCGGGAGCGCGTATCGGCACCGCTGACAGTGAATGAAAACAACCTTAAAAAGGCTCATTCGTGATGAGTGTGTGTGATAGGGCCGCTTGTCAGATAAACCATGCTGACAGCCTGGCTAAAGGACACTTCATCATAAAATGATGTTATTTCAGTGTCATCAACACACCTCTAGCAACCCGACACCTGGTTACCTTCTGTTGAGCTCTGTTTGTTGTCCTGGAGGGCCCCCTGTTGGCGAAGTCCGGGAAAAAAAAAGAACTTCCGGATGCCGGGGACGTCTGACGGGAGGGGCTGGCGTAGCAGAGCTGGGGAGGCGTTGTGCAACCGTGGAGCATCTTGAAATGATCTCTCGCTGATGAAAAGAGGACCTCCAACAAGCTCCTGCAGCTCTCCTGAGAGGAAGGTGGAGTGACGAGCCAGGAGAACCTCTGGGACCTCGTTCTCCGGCTGCGATGCGGGGCGGCAGACAGCAAAAGAGGCGCACCGGTTGAGGATGACGTCAGCTGCCCTGTAGACGGAGCGTACTGCAGGGGCCGGCAGCGTAGTTAGCAAGCAGCCGCTACGAGAGTGGAGTGAGCCGAAGGAGAGAGGACCACCGTCTCTTCCCGCCTCTGAACGTGTACGCCAACAGCGTAACGTGTTGTTCGCTGCGGCCGTGTGGAACACATGCTGGTGAGCTCAGTTGGAGAGCGGTGTCACCGTCTCGGTTGTGCTAACCGGAGGCACGGGACGCTGGTCCACCTCGACATCTTGCTCCAATAAAGCCTCCATCAGGCTCGGCTCCAGGGGGCACGGAGGGACTTTCTGCTCAGTGAACCCCTGCTCTGGAGATGGGTGCGGACTGTGGAGACTGGCTCCCCCAATCTACCAGGAAAAAACCCGTCTGTGGCCTCGCCCGTAGGACGTCCTGTTGGGAACACAAGGCCATATGGACCAAGACGGTGAGCCGGAATGGAACCCAGTAAACAACCTTCCCGCCGGATCATCCGAACTGGCGGGAAAGGCGTAGGATGTAAAAAAGGGTCCCTTCATGTCAGCCGCCTCCTGGGTTACGCCGGGCAACCCCTGAGGGCGCCGTCGGCCGGGAGCGGTGTGATCGCCGATGCGAAACGAGGTGGGATGGGGTGAGCATTCACTCAGCCCCCCTCCACCGACACTACGCTCTCCAGGTGGGAATGAGCAGCGGGGGGCTGCAGCTGAGCGCCGCCTGTCCCGGAGAAACCATCCGATTCGCTCCGAGGGTCGGCAATAAAAGGAAAATTACAAGATGGCGTTGTCTAGCGTGTAGTGACCTGTCACTGAGAAATACTCCTCGGCGCTTACCTTGAAATAAGACTGCTCGTCAGCTTCTCCTCGGGGAGGAGAACTCACCGGACGACCGGAGGTCGACTGCCGGGCCAAGCATCCTTAACAAAGGTTGGTCATCTACACAATTTTCCTTCTTTGTTCTTCTGACAGTGCTATTAGCTCGCTGAAGAAAAAATGGGAGCCGATTTCCCGCTCTTAACGTAATTTATACGGACCGGGTGGGGCCCACACAGCAGGTGGGCGTGGATAAATTTTTCAGTGCAAATGCTACGCATAACAGGATAAACCCACTAAGCGACAGCCTTAAAGGGCGAAGCCTATACAAAATAGAACACTGTTTACACAGTGTATGTTAACGTGTGATGAATGAAAACACTTGTTCATCACTACACACCCTTTGAGACACAATAATAGGAATATGTACAACAGAAAAGTGAATGCTTATAGTTTTGGTGACGAGTGTTTTTCTGGACTGGAACTGAACAAGGAATGCAAGTAAACCTAAATGTTTTTGGTGCAAGATGTTCAAGTGAGGAGGAGTTACACTGTGGAGAAGAACAGAGGGAGGTGTTTTTGTTTTTGTTTGAGGAAGAGTAGAGTGATGGATTCTTGAGAGTGAAGGAAACGTTTTTATCCACCACCAGGTGCAATGAAGGAACCAGGGGGCGGCCAGTGGTGGCCTTGGCCCCATAAGATTAATTTTTGGCCATCCCAATCATTTGAGGAAACTACACTTTTAAGCAAAATAAAAACTAGGAAGTGTAGTTCCTCAAATAACAGCGGTGGCTGGTTTACATACAATTTCAAAAGAAACCTCTTACACCTCGATGCAGCCACACACCAAGTCGGTACCTCACTTATTTTTCAACTTATCACACTCACGTGGAGGGATGGAGGGCATTTCTGATTCGCCCTGGCTGCTCAGCATGTAAGACAACAATCCAGCTTTATAATATCTTTGTCTCCACGCATTTCCTCTACGTCCTGAGGTACTTCCCCTGAGACACCTCTGTGTAGGGGGACATGAAGACAGTCCACCCCCACAGCCCCAGTTACATGAACAGTGTAGACGTGATTTTTTTGTACTGTGGCATTTCTGATCAGAGAATGCCAAAGCTTTTTTTTAGCACCTTGTAAAAAAGGGCCATATGCCAGTTTTCTCATTCATAATTAGTGTTCAATGTTTTCAGAATAAAGGCTCTATTCAACTGTATTAGACAAAGAGAATATCAACTAATCAAATGATAAATTTGATTTATTCTGACAAAATTGTCCTTGTATGAATACTTTCAATGTCTCAGTCCTTCAGATTTTATTTGATCCTTTTCAAGTGTTTTAATGTGTCACCTTTATACGAGTGAAGAGAAATTAACCATCAGCCACTCACCTCGGACCTCAAACTGACTGTACTCTTTGGAGCGGAGCACCGGGTGAGCCAGGCAGAACCACGGCAGCTGTTTGCGGAGCTGAGGCAGGAGATAGTGTGTAATGAAGCCGACAACTCCAGCCAGGATGTACAGGACGAAGCTGAGCGCAGGCTTTTGGTGAAGCAGAAAAATGTTTTTTAAAAAGCATTAAAAAAAATTCCCGAACGCATCAAAAACTTAAAGTTATTTAAAGAATAGAAACATGAACTCACCTGAAGAGCGATGAAAACGGTGCTGGCACTGATGGCGAAGGTGATCACAGCCATAAGAGGACACATGACGAGGTCTGAATGAAGAATCTCCCTCTGCAAAGATCAAAATCAAAGTTTGACTCTCAAAAGTTAAAAACATCCTGAAACATGGAATCAACACAAAAAAAGCTTGATTTTATTTTTTACCACAGAGTTACGCAGCTTCTCAGGGAGAGGGTCCTTGATCTCCACAGGGGGCTCTTCAGGTGTTCTGTTCTCCAGCTCTGGGAATATTTTAGACCGGACCAGTGACCTGATGTAAAGTGGTAAAAAGCACAAATTTAATGGTGTACAGCAAAAAGCTAATTTGAAACATCAGTCTTCACAGGCTGTGCTGGGGAAAAAGCAAGTCAGCACAAGTCCATGTCCTCCAGAACTCCTTTCTACACATGAACGTTACCTGTATGTACCTGACTCACAGCTATGGAGATAATTAGTCTTCAAAGTAATCACACAAGCGCACAACAAGATTTGTAAGCAAACAATAAGATAAGAAACACCTTCTCATTTTAGCTAGTTTATTTTCACAAAATTAACATTTTGAAATCCAGTAACACCATGTATGCGCATGTGTTTTAATATAGAGGTTATGAGCTACACAATAGAAATGAGTATTTTTCCAATAACTCAGTAAATCTGGTAAAGCTCAGATGTCCCAGCTTTTCACCAGCCTTGAACGTAGCATTACCGTTGGGAATCTAGAGCAGTAAGAAAGTCTCAAAAGTCAGATTCACAGGCAAGCTGATCCATGTGCAGCAGGTGCTTTGTGCACATGTATTAGACAGTTTATATGCACAAAATATTCCTACTTGTGCAACTTGAAATGTATACATCTGGAAAAGCTGTATTTGTGAATTTTGTGGTGTGCTTGTGGAGATTACTGTGCACATACAAAACTTGCACACTTACTTCTGAGACTAATTTATCTCCAAAGTCATCTGGAAATTTTAAAAAAATTAAAAAAAAATTGTAGAAAGGGAAAAGAAAAAACACCAAAACATAAAGCTGTAAGACTTTCTCTTGACAAGTAAATAATTTCGAGAAAAAGGAAAAAAGAAAACTATTAAAAACTGCATCTTTCTGGATGTTGTGGTCACATTTATTTTGCATTTCCATTTTTGTTTATAGCAGTATTTATTACAAATATTGTCTGTTGTAACAATAACAGACAGAAAATACTGACCACAGAATTGTAGAATTGCTGCTTTGTCGGCTGAGGTGATAGGATAAGGCCAGGAGAAGGCCACAAAACACAGAAAACAGCACTGGCACATGGGCATCCCCCCACGGCGTCTAAACAAACCAAATCAAATAAACATAATTTCTATAATTAAAACTTTTGAACCAGAACGTCACACTTTTACAACCTAAAAGTCTGTTTTTGAAACACTCACATTAACAGCGCCGAGGCAGAATCCATAGAGCAGAGCGGCCACCAGCACGCTGCGAACAAGGCTGAACAGAGACGAGAGCGGGCTGGTGGTGGCTGAGGACGAGAGACAGAGGTCAGGAGCAACAAACAGACGGGTCCAAATTCATTCTCAGCCAGAGAGCAGGTCGCAGAGGACAAATCTGGACAAGACCACTGACCGACAACACACACTGCTCACTTCATGGAAACCACACAAACATTCACACTCATTTCTAAAATCAACCCCCCCCCCCCGACGTCAGTCTGTTAGCTTAGCTCATAGCTTAGCTTCTCAGCTTAGTTGCTTTTAACAATCAAAAAATGCGATTTTGGATGATTAAAACAGATTTTAAAGAGAAAGGGAGGAGTCAGTGAAGAGCACCGGAGTTGAGCCGTGTCTTCAGTAGAAAGAGAGAGACAGGAAGAAACGATAAAGCCGATAAATGAAAATGAGGTTGATAAGTTTATAAAGCATTCGTGCTGTTAGCCGTGCCAAACCGACAGCATGTGTAGATCTATTCTTACCAGTTCCACCAAAAATGTGCATGTCGATCTGCTCCAGCAGACACATAACAAAAGTGTTAACCTGAGGCAGCCACCCAAACAGGAAAATGACAGGAAAACACAAGGCCAAAACTGAGGGAGAAAAGAGAAAAAAAAAATCTCAGCAAAAACATAAAATGAATAAATAAAAACATGTTCTCTTACATACTGCACTGGTTAAATTATCATTTTAAGACTAATGACCTATGTTGATGTAAAAAGTCATGCAAACTAACCAGTCAGCATATCTCTGACACACAGCAGAAAATGTGCAGAGAAGAAGGTGACGCCATAGAGGGTGAAGGGCTGCAGACTTCCAGAGCGTCCGGACAGGTCAAAGATCCAAATCATCACGCAGCACAGGCAGAAGTACACTGGACGACTGTACACGATGATCCAGTTATGACCCTGTTCAACGAACCAGGAGACGGCAGCTCAGTCACACCAAACACATGTTTTTCTTTAGTCTGAGTTCTAAATACATTTATAGAACCACATTATAAACATTTATCACTTTTTCAGAAATGGAGACAAGTGTCTGGAGTCAACTAAAAGCAATCCTCTCAAGTTAATATAATCGTCATTTAAATTATTTATTTGGCTTGTGAGGGAAAGGTACGTCATATGAAACTGTCCAACTTTTCCATCCTTAATCAACACCCACCATTTTCTCATACAACATATCCAGTGAAATATGATAAGACAAACAAATACCTCTGTTCTGTGGCAAACATTGAAAAGTAACACAAACTGGTTAAAAAAAACATAGTTTTTGTGACGTTTTCAAATTGTTTCACTCACAGCTTTGGAAACTGCCCTTTCACTACCATATATGGGGGTGACGTCACGCCAGGAACCCGATCAGGCAAGACTGCCAGATTTCTATTGCACAAGGCTGGAGGTAGCAGCAGAGATAGGCAGTCTCGTGGAGAAAACATCAGATCCCTTCTCAACTCCAGCTGAAGGTAGTTCGGTGGTGATAGACACAGTGAGAGCGAGTGATGAAATTTGAGAGATTTGTGATATTTAGCATGTTTGGATTTTATAATTAAGGTGTAGTTAAGTGCGTTTAGTCAATTTTGGTGTTCGAGTCAAAACAAGGAAGTGATTTTTGGACATGAAACTGCAGCTTCTGTTTAAATCGGGGATGGAACCACAGACCCAGAAATGGACAGAGCCACTGACTCAGAACCTCCAGACTGTGACTCCACGCTCCTGCCTGTGCCCGATCCCTGGCGTGATGTCATCTGACTTCAGTAATCATCAACTGTGTGTTTGAGTGTTTCTGTGACAGGTTTGCTTGTTTAACGTTGCGTAACACAGATGTGAAAAAAACATAACCAACGTATTCTAAGTCAGTGATTACTCCTTAAGAGCACTTGGGTGTATAATGGTGGGTGTTGACTTTAATGTTCGTGCTGCATTCACTTTCCTACAATGGTGAGAAGCTTTCTTTTTGCTTTTAACAGCAATTTCTTATCAGCATTTCAAACAGTTTACATGACTTACAGAAACGAGTTACTAAACTACATTATTCTTTCCAAAAACATAAATCAGCTTGTAAGTTTTTTCCTCCAATAAAAAGGTTTAAATTTCTGTATATCAAAACCTACTGAAAAGAAAAAGATGTAGTCGATATAAAAATGCAGTGGTATTGTATTTCAGTTGTAGTTTGACCTCAGTGTGTCAGAAATGGTATAAAAACCAGAGGAATTAACATGTGAATAAAGGTGTACACATCTGCTTCCAAGTATAAAAGCTATACGGTACTCACGTGCATGGGGGAGGCCGCATCAGGTTGTACACTCTGAAACACAGAGAACAGGAAGTCCAGCATCTCAAATATTTGAAGACATCTAAGGCTATGAAATCAACTAGTCCTGAAGAAAAACCTATACTGTGCACATGAAGAATGCTTAAGGTATTATAACAAACATGTTATTAATGAATATTTAATGCATATAAGAGGTTTTTGATTAAATATTAAGGTACCTTCAGTAAGGAGTACTGGCAGCTGGCGATAACCAGGCAGAACTGGAAGACCCAGATGTCCCTGAAGAAGCCCTGCAGCAGCAGCAAGAAGCCCAGGAAGGCCACCAGACTGGCCAACACGACGGCAAACACGTTCTCACCCACTCGACGATTCCTGTCAACACCATCCAAACATATTAGCAATCAGATTTAAACCCTCTTATTGCCTTCAATATAAAAATTAAAAAAAATCACTGGCACCATTTTTCAGTGTTCATGTTAATTGTTGTGGTACACTTTTAGGAAACACCTGACAACAAGCTAACAAAAAGTAGAACAAAGCTGTAAAAAGTCACCATGATGTGTAAACAATAACAGCTTTGTATCTAAAATTAATATCTGCCCACAACAAACAAAATAATTAAACAATAAACCATGTTACTAAAACCACCTCATTCTACAACTTTGATAATTTTATTTAAAATTATGACAAAACTTAATCTGGATGTTAATACAGTACCTTTGTTTTATTTGTTACCTTGTTAAATTTACAAGAAATGAACAGCGGCTCATCCCTCTGCGCATGCCCTCTTCTGCGAATCGGCTTTTGAAATACAGCTGATTTGACCATCAAAGTGCATTTATTAAGCAAAAAGTTAGACCGAGACACACCCTTACTATAATTTCAAGCAAACAAATAATTGTTTTTAAGTGTGAACCTTGTTAAAGTCCTCCCGTGCACACTCCCACTGCCACCATTTGGCAGCCAATTGATTTTTGGCATAACACTGACCCACATTTCCGGGTTGTCAGTGGTGACGCGTAACAAACGCGACGCGTTAGCGGTGATGCATAATAGATGCGACGTATACGGCGAAGCGACATATTTATGGATTTTTCCACTTTATTAAACATTTGGACAGATGCGACATAAAGCGGAGCAACGTGTACGGCAGAAAATATAGGATATAAGCAGTCACGGCTTAATTAAAAATGTCTGGGTTTTTTTCAGGTTCGGACCTGTAATTAGTGTTAATTTGTTGGATCTGGTAGAGTTCAGAAATGATGGCTAAGGGCTGGGGCCGGGTCGGATTTTTTGGACCCGAATGCAACTGATTACACCCCTAGTTCAGACTATTTAAAGACAACCCTGCTGTTAAATTAATGTGAAGGTACAAGTTACAAGCTCCTGTCCAACAGTCTTATCACCTGTCCCCTCTCACCTAACAAACAGTCTCTATCTCTTGTCCAACAGTCTCTATTGTCTGTCCCAACAGTCTCTATCTCTTGTCCAACAGTCTATCTCTTGTCCAACAGTCTCTATCTCTTGTCCAACAGTCTATCTCTTGTCCAACAGTCTCTATCTCTTGTCCAACAGTCTCTATCTTGTTCAACAGTCTCTCGTCTGTCCCAACAGTCTCTATCTCTTGTTCAACAGTCTCTCTTGTCTGTCCAACAGTCTCTATCTCTTGTCCAACAGTCTCCATCTCTTGTCCAACAGTCTCTCTTGTCTGTCCCAACAGTCTCCATCTCTTGTCCAACAGTCTCTCTTGTCTGTCCAACAGTCTATCTCTTGTCCAACAGTCTCTATTGTCTGTCCCAACAGTCTCTATCTCTTGTCCAA